GGAGAAATACAAGCCAACATTAAAAGAAAAAGAATCAAAAAGAAAACATTTGTATTAATCCTGAAAAGCAAAATCAAGACTCACACGTCTCTGTATCATTAAGAAGCATAATCTGTCCCTGAGAGCAAATGAACTTGGCAGAAAAGTCCCATCTCAGTTTCTGATTTAGGAATGAACAACATAAAGAAGCAAAATAAGTGAGAAACCTGCTGGAGTAACAAAAAAAGTGAGTGTCTCGCTTTTCCAATATTTTTTGAGTACCTTCAACCAGAAATCTTGAGAAGAACAGGCATCAGACTGAAGTATACATATTCTCTATGACCATTTTGTAAGCAAGCAAAGGTTTAGATCTACATCTGCTCAGTCAGAAATGATGGGCAACTTCAATTCCCTGATGCCTTTATGCTGGCCACCTCAGGAAGCCCAAGGAATGAGTAATTCCCATTCAGACAGAGCTGAACAGCAGCACAGACCCTTCAGAAAAATGTCCCATATGCACCTGTTCTCCACAGCTAAAAAAACACCTACTGGAACCAGTCACCTGAAGATGAGTAAAAGTCTTTAGAGCTGCCAATTTAGTCTTGGGGAAAGCACCCATGAAAGAATAAACAAAACATCCTGCAAAGCAAATATAACCAAAAGAGTGTCATGGGAAGGACACAGAATACACCTTTGTCTGTATTTATGGTGCTATTTTTTATTTTTAACTATTTCCTGTGCAATAGTAACACAGTGCGTAGAAGGGTGGTGCAATCTAACCCACACTACAATCTAACCTTGATATCTAACTCAGGATAGAAGTCAGCTGAACAGAGCTGGGAAAAACTGACAGTGAGTTTCACTTTCCAAAGGCAGGGTTAGTATGAGCCCAGGTTCCACCTGACTCCTGCAGGAGTTCAGCACCAGCGGGGTTGATGGATCTCATTCTGAACTGTTACAGGTAGGAGGTAGGGATTGGTCTGATCAAAGCTCCGTCCATCCTCTTTTCTGTAATCAAACCCTGAACTGTGCCTCTGCAATCCATAACACACTCTGGAGAGCGAGTGGTAGGAAATCAGAGCTGCCTTCAGAAGGCATGTATAAATGTGACCTGTTACCAGGAACCCACTTGCCAGCCTGTTCCTGGAGTCCATGGACAGATTGTACAGAGCTTTCCTTTCTGAAAAAAACAACCAACCCAACAACCTCTGACTTGGGCATAATTGCTTTCCTTATTTTGGTAAATGTTCCTTTTGTTCCCTGGGGAGACTGCAGCTGTGGCAATGAAGACAAAACTGGAATACAATCCCTTTTTCACGTGGAGAGGCACTGCTGAAGGCTCTTTCTGCTCTATATGGACTTGAAAGAGTCACTGCTCCAGGCGCATCCTGCTGTACCCTTCTCACAGCTACACTCCTGCTGCCTCCTTGCTGGTACAACATGGCAAAGCTGGGCTTCAGGATTCACTCACACAAACCTTCGTTTCTAGAAGCTACTTTGTCAAACATTTGCAAGAGTAATAGAAATAAATAAAAGTGAGCTGTGGCTGGGTTTTTCCCATTTGTGGTTTGATGAGGAGGGAAGAAAACAGTCACTCTCCAGTCACAGTAGGTTTATTCTTTTGTTCCTTTGTTTGCTGTCAGCTACTGATTCCTTTCTCATGCCAGCTGATGCTGCTCTTCACTGAGCCACAGTGTAAGAGGAGAAAATGCCTAGCTTGACTGGAACTCACACAAAGGGGAAAATCACCATTTGGTCCGTGTTGACAGCAAGTGCTATATAAGCCCTCTCTTCAAAAATTGGTTGGGCAAAGTGATTGTGAGTGGAGCACAAAATCAACTATGGTCTCAGAGAAGAAAGGGGCTGTCTGGGACCAGGGGGAAGCAGAGGCATCAAACTGATGTCCTGGATTCTATAAGGAAAATCCTTCACATCTTGAGGAGCAAACCTAGTCTTGAGAGGTTTGAATCTATCCAGGGTTGACTGCTCTGCAAGACCTCTCTGTTCCTGCCTTCCCTCCAGTGAATGTAAAGCACTTCAGCAGAACTGAGGGAAGCAACCTGACATACAGGAAAGAGCTTCTACAAAGGCTTCTACACAGTTCCTACAAAACCCTTGCAAGTCCACCCTCTCTGCCATGCCCTGATCTTTGTGTGAACATCCCATGTCTTTGAAGGAGAGTGCATTCACTTAGTGATGGATTGGGAGTAATACATAACCTGCAAACAGCTCCAGGTGTGCCCAAGCCACCTGCCATCTATTCTGCTTGCCCAGGGCAGTGGCTGTGGGACAAGAAACATTGCTCTGAAGCATCATGGTGTAAGATCTGTACCAAACTGAGAGAGGATCAGACCACAGCAAAGATTTCAAGTGCAAAGCAAAGCAGAGCTTTGGTAGAGGGTGGTAAAGATCTTGGAGAAGCTGTTCATGTAAGGGAATTTCATTTGTAAAAGCCCCATAGGACAGGCCTTTTCTGTTAATATGCAGTGTGGAGATTGGCTTTGGGTGCTACATCTGTGTTTACCCTTTCCACACTGATGGAGGAAGCTGTGAAGCTGCTCTGGCTGGTAGGTGTGAGGGCAGCTCTTCTGACCCTGGGACCCTGCACACAGCTCTGCAGTGCTTGGCAGGAGCCAGCATATACTTGCTTACTGCTTTTCAGAAAAACAGTCAAGATTCCCTCTGTGTTGCCATACAATTACTTCACCAAACCATTGCTTTTTAGGATGCCTGCTAGTCACATGGGGCATGCTTGTTTGTAATAAAATAAGCTGCTTTAAAACAATTTTGGCACAAATTAAGTGTTTGTGATACATACCATAAAAGAGCTATTAAAAAAAGAATGCTATCAGAAGGGTAAAAAAAATCAAATTGTTTTCCATATGGGTGGACCTATACACAAACATCTTCCACATACAATGGCCATTATATCCCCACAATTGTTAATGGATTAGAACTATTTTGATAAAGAAACAGCAATGTGTGCCAATGCACAGTCTGGTGATGTGCTATCAACACACCACCCATTACTGTATCTTTTCCTGGGAAACTCAAAGCATTATGCCCTGTGTACAGCTGTGGCCTAACTGTAATTTAAGCTTCTGGCCTGCCTAATCACCACCCATTAAACTCACATTCTCTTCACAAGTCACACATTTTCCAGATCAAACCCTGTGTCTTAGTCATGCAACAGACTGAGGTCAGAAATACATCTGTGTACAGTGCTGGAATTGAGGGCAAGGCAGAACTGAAGTCCATAGGTCCCTTAAGCCTCTGAGATACTTAACAGACAAGTATGTTTGGATATACATTTAACAGATGTAGTGAAAAATAGATGCTCCTTGTCCCAGGAATCCCGCTGGGAATAGCAGCAGCAGTGCGGCAGCTGCCAAGCAGCCTCATAAGAAATTCTCAGAAAAAAGTGACGCAGGATGACAGTATTTCTGCAACCACATGCATCAGCCCATGGAATTTAGTAGGGAAATGACAGATATCATGGGATAGATAATTAACAAAAAAATCAACAGTGAGTAAAAGATCAGTGGTAAATGCACAGGGCTGCAGAGTAATTGATTGAGATTCTACTAAGTTTCCAGTCTACAAACCACTGTCTCTACGGAAGCATGGAAATGATAGACCTCAGGAGGACTTGAAAGGTCTTCTACAGTAACTCCCCTCCCTAAAAAAAAAAAAAAAAAAGCAGAGTGGCTCTCCTTTTGCCCTTCTGGACACGTCTCTATCTAACCAAAAGTAAATTTTGCACTTTGGATTTCTGCCAGAGTCAAGCTGAGATCACCTTTGTGTTTTGCATGAGACAGGGTCAGTACTACACAGGCCAGGTCTGATGTGGTTAAGCAAAGAATGGCTTTCAGGGTAAATTCAGCAGCGGATGTAGCCATTACGTGCATCTGCAAAGAACTGTGTTAAGACACAGCCCCACCCTCTGCACATGTGAAATGGAGCATCCATGGGGGAAGCAGCAGAAAAACCAGTTTCACAAGTGGGCTTTATACCCAAATCCACTGCTGAAGAATTCCCTACCATTTGACTCAGCTTTAACTCCTCTTTTTCACAAGTTTAAAAGACTGGCACCCAGAAGAGGTTTGTAATTTGCCTTGGTCAATAAATCAAAAGAACTAATATCATGCATTTAACATCAAACATTGATGAATTTTCATAATAGCCTGGTAGAGCGAGTACTATATTCCTGATGTGCCCAGGCTGGGGGCAGTTAGCAACAGATCCTGAAAAACTACATGGAGAGTAGAGAGATCTTTCCTGGATATTTTTATCTCTTCAGCTGAATTAAAGTTTAATACGTGGACACATAGTTCTTAATAAGACATATTTTAAGCAAGACTTTATATTACATATTGTCATACATTACTAAATTATTACATAGTGCCACTTCTTCTATAGAAGTGCAGTGCTTAGATTGTGAAGAACTACTTAGCACTGGCAAAGTCTGTTTCTACATCTTGCAGACAGTAGACTGTTGCCATTAGCTTTTAGAAAAATATACAAAAACATTTCCCCGAATCTTGTCTATTCCACTCCTCTATGACTTTAACTTAGCGTAACTTGACTTGGTGGTGCTGCTTTGAACTGCCAAATCTCATGTCTCTGAGCAGTCAAAGGAATGACTGTACCCAGTGCTCTTTGACTGTAAGGAGAACCTGCCCACACTGCAGCCCCCTCTGCACATCCCACCTCTAGCTGGTGATGAGAGTTGGAACCTTTACCTGGTGAGTGTCTCATCTTTTCCACCCATAACAGCTACCAGAGCTGCATTTTTTTTTTCTTTAAGGAAAAAAATGGTAGCTCCTCTAAAAGGAAAGAGGAAGCCAGAAATTTTGTAGCGTCTCTGTCCTGCCCAATGATGCTTCTTCCTGTCTGTGAATTTCCACCTGCCCCTTCTGCATATATAAGGCAGCACACGTGGTATAGACTGTTTAGTTGCCTGCCTCCGTCCAAAGGATTAGCAGCAGTGGAAGTGATGCTGTTTCTCCTTTCCTCTGCAGTTCACGGGAGGTAAAGGAGCTCTGGCTGGACTCACTCCTTGGGTAAGTACTGACTGAGATAAAATCTGTGACACTGGATGAAGTCAGCAGAGGGGCTTCAGATGCAGCTGTACAGAGCTGTACAAAAATACAGACATGGGAGAGGTGTGCCCACTGCTAAGTGTAGCTCGTGGGCAGAGCTGACCGCGTCTCTTAGCCTCGTATTTGCAGATTAAGGACCATATGTAGCTGTCACCATTTGCTCATTTTTTGCATGAATTAAAAATGGAAAGCTGCTTTTATTTTGTTTTAATCAAGAGGCAGTTAGGGCAGCAAGGCTGAGCATCCTTCCAGAGAAGGGCTTTATGGTTTACTTGTGTGGGAGATCTTGCTGGTTCAGGATCATACATGCTAGATTGGCTTTCAGGGGAGAAAGACAAGAAGGGTGCAGTTTTACAAAGCTCTTTCTTTGTCCATTCTCTGTTCAATAAACAGGCAAACAAAAAGATTGAAGGAAACCAGAGTGTCCAGAGCTCCCCCAGTCAAACTCCTAATGAAAGTGTTTAGCAGCTGTAATACTGTGAGTGTCTTAATTGTTTCAGCTCTGTCAACAGAGTGATTTTGAAAAGCTTTGATTTCTAAACCATACCATTCAATTACTCACAGTGTCTTTGTTTTCTTGCCTAGTCAAAGACACTAAATGCTGGGAACATGGAGAGTCTGATTGAGTGCCAGTCAGAGGTAAGCAGCCCCTACATTTTCCCGGCTCTTTCTTGGGTACTGGTGTGAGATATCTTAGCAAAGTGGGGGTGGCCCCTCTAAGAGCTGGCGGCTGCCTACCCTCACCCACGAGCGGGCAGAGCTCTTCAAAGGCAGCGCTGTGCAGCACTGAGCAGGAGCTGGGCATCGCTGGGGACAGTCAGTGCATTCCCTTGGCTCCCGAGGAGCTTTGCTCAGGAATCTTTCAGTCTTCAAAGCCATCAAGGCTCCCTGGGGGAGTTTGGGAGGAAATTTCCAGTGCCAGGGGAGAACACAAAAGAGCAGGCTGTGTCCAGCTGTTGCTTCTCTGGATCAAACGCGCAGCCTGAAAGAGCACAGAGTTGTGACCTGCCGGGCACGACTGGGGTGGCTGCTGCAGGGTTTACCTCAGACCCCTCTATTTGGCAGTGAAGCACTGTCAATCCTGGACTGAGGCACCCCTTCAACAGGTGTTGGGCTTGCTCTGGTTATTCTCTGGAGCCTCCCGCAGATTTATGAGGAGCTTCAGCAATTCGCTGGTGCCCCTTGCTACTGGTGGCAGGTCTGTTAACCCTAACATGCTTTTTGCAGGCTGATGCCAAGCAATGTTCCCCGTTGGTCCCAGCAGATGCTGAAGACAGACTTTGCCTCTCAACTGGTGAGTTTTAAAAACAAACTGAGGAACTGCCTTCTTATATAATGCTTGCAAGCCAGCACTTGTGCAAAACCACCCAAAACTGCCCACTTCCCCTCCCTGAGAGTAATCCATAGCCCACATCCAGGACAGGGCTTAAGCCCTGGAGTGCCACTCGCTTGCAGATTACTTCTTTGCCTTATGCTCAGTGGCAGAGGTGACAGTGCTGAGTGACAGAGGTCTTGCATCCCTGTCCCCTGGTCCTTAGAGCTGCTTCAGTGTGTTCCCTGGCAGCGATGGGAATTAATGTGTTTCTTTCTCACTCGAGCATCCCCACTGAGGTGTGGCACTGGAACCAAGTAGAGTACTGCTACCAGCTGTTGCTCACCAGAGCAAACAAACCCTCCTGGCAGCAGCAACAGCACTTGTTTTTTCTCACCATGCAAAACCTCAGCAACCTGTAAACAACCCAGAGGAGACCATTAGCAGGGCAGGGTCAGATTTGGAGCACACCATCATATCAGATCAGCTTTCAGAAGTATCAGAAGCTAACGTTTTATATGACACTATAATGTTAAGTGACTTTCTCATAGTTTTTAACCCCTCCTTACTTGTGCTAAGCCACAAAGACAGGTCCTGAGAATTTCTCATCTGCATAAGACAATGTCATTTTGGAGTAGAAGGCACATTATTGGAAATTTGCAGAAGGCAAATCTTTTAGAAAGCTTTCCATCAAAAGGATCTTTCTCTCACTGTTTCCAAAAGGGAAAAAAAGGCACACCCTACCGCAGTACAACTACCATCTCTAAATTCTTATCGTGCCCTCCTCTTAATGAAGCAGATGCAAAACCCACGCTAAGAGATTTCTGACCCTGAAGCCAGTGAGGCACTACTGTGATGCTGCCATCCTCTGGAGCAAGTATCACCTTCCACTGGCAGGCTGGCAGGGGGCAAGGACTAGCTCTAGAAGGACACTGTTGTTAGAGCTGGCTCCAAAGCTGGCAGAGGTGGAGCAATGTGTTTTTATTTCAGGCTGTAAAAGAAGCCAAAAAGCAGGAGCCCCTATTTCCATGCTTGCCCTACGTCTGGGTCACAGTCAGACCATGTAGTGAAAATTGCTGTCATTGCCAGCTGCCCAAGTGGCATATCTGCCTCAAAGTTATCACAGAAGCCACTGAAATATCAAAAATCTCTATAAATGCTATTTCTGTGCCTTGTATGTTCCCACTCTCTAAGAAGAAACAGTGACGAGAATGAAAAAAACACCCAACCCAAAACAGGAAAGGTGGTGGCCTTAGAGGGATGGGCACAGTTTTACAGTTTAGGTAGTTGTTTCCCTAGTAACTGCTTAGTTGTCTTTAAGCTTCTCCCCATTTAGTTTGAGTTGTTTCAACATACATCTCTGCACTACACACAGATGAAAGACCATATAGTGCTCTGTCAGGGTTTGGGGTTTTTTAATCCATTTTTTGCTTTCCTTTTGCTTGCAGCAGATGGAACAAAGAAAAGAAAGAAGTTGATATCGCAATCATTTACTCTGAGACGAAGCTTTACCAATGGAAATTCCCCAGGGCAGCTAGACTTGGGTGCCGAAATCACTCTGTTTGGCCAGCCTCTGGCAATTATCTGTGGAGAAGATGACACACTGCCCCAGCCAGTCCAGGTAAGGAAGTATGGGGATACAGTTACCATAACTCTGACTTCACTGGGAGGCAGGATCACCAGTACTTGTGCTGCAGCACCCAGGAAATGAGTGATTTTGGTGTTTCCGTTCCACACCCACTCCTGATAAGCTCAGGGCCCATCCCAAATGTACAAAGGGTCAGGTCCATGGGTTTTGCTGAGCCCACTCAGATTTCACTGCAAGTAACTCAGACAAACCAGGACCAGGAATAGGAGATGAAGATCTGCTCCTCAGTATAAACTTCTGTGATCCTACAGCAGTAATTTAAATAAATCTTTCAGCAGCATAAACTTCCAAGGATTTCTGTATTTCCCTGAAAAAAGTGTACAGCTATGGACTGCCACCAACAAATACCTAAACACTGTCTTCTGGATAAAAACGGTCTTGTAACAGTTCTGCCACTGAATTGGCTCTCCCAATAACAGGCATTGGTCTCTTACAAGCAATATTTGCCTGGCTTGTGAGGGAAGGGATTTGAACTAAGACTTAAGCCATCCCTTTATTTCCTTATGGAAGGAAGCAAGGATGACTCTACTGAAGTTAGTGGAATTCACCAGTTCAAAAAGAGGGTGGACTGTGGGAAAATCAGGCTCTTGCCTATGTAATCTACTTGGAGCAGGAACTAGATACTGAACTAATCAGAGCACAATGTACATCTGGACAACTTTTCTTCTGTTTCTAAAGAAATGTCCTGCTAAAGGACCTTCCTGCACCCAAGTAACTGTTCTCTCATTTCTGTTTGATTTTTTTCCCTGAAGGATCTCCTAGCTATATTGTATATGAAAGGACCTTTCTCTGAAGGGATATTCAGAAAAGCTGCCAATGAGAAAGCACGAAAAGAACTGAAGGAGGACCTCAACAAAGGCAGCAACGTGGATTTGAAAAGCAAATCTGTGCACCTGCTGGCAGTGGTTTTGAAGGTGAGCAACTCTGAGCTACATTGGTGGGAGGACATTGCTAATCTGCACAGGCCCACTCTAGTGCCCAGAGCTGACCTAGGTGGGACTCCAAACTAAAGCCAGAACAAAGCCAGACTAAATGTTTCAGGCTTAGGAAAGTTTGGAATTTTCCTTTTCCACCTGATTTTCAGACCTAGTTGTGCTGCTGATTTCCTGCATGCCCAGAGGAAACTCACTTTGTCCTCCTCCTCAGCATCCTCCCAGGGAGGAATAGTGAGATTTTTGGGTGAACAAAGAGCAGCTGAAAGCTGGTTCCTGTACCACACAAGTGCAAGTGCACCTGTGTATTGTACTGCTCAAGTCAACCTGCCTCTCAGAGAGCCCATGTGACAGTAATGCTCCCTCTGTCCTCAGAGATAGTGTCAAAGCTTCATGTAAATTTCTTGGCCTTGCAGGACTTTCTCCGAAATATTCCCTCCAAACTCCTGTCAGCTGACCTCTATGAGAAGTGGATGCAAGCTCTGGAGAAGCCAAGCAAGCAGGAAAAAATTGAAGAATTGAAAGAGTAAGTTTTTCAACCAGGAAGTTTTGCAACCAGAACCAATATGATGGAGTGGCTGGTAGAGGCCAACGATGTCTTTCGGAATTAAGAGTCTCATTTAAAAGCCTATCATTTATATCAGCTTGCTATTGCACCATGGGGCTTGGTTTAGAGGGCTCCAGCAGCAGCATTTCCTGAACTTTTTTGAGATTGCTCTATGAAACAACCAGCTTAGGAAGAGGGCAGAGGCTGCAGTGTCTCAGCTAACAGTCATGGTGCTGTGGGACAGGCACTGATGTGGACCTTTCACATCTTCTGGCAGTAAAGTCTACTCAAGGACATGGGCTGCTGCAATGGTGCCCTTCAGTCAAGACCTCATAATTAAAAATTTTGTAATTAACCACATTCTCAGCTGTGGTTGGGGATTTATGAATGATACTTCTCCTAAGCAGTGAATAAAACACACACATGACTCCTTCTAAAGGAAGGTTGTCTGTCTAATTGAGTCATGCTCAAATAGAGAAGCAGAAGCCACTGCACCATCAATTAATGTCACATTTTGTTTCTGTTCATGCAGGGTGGCTGACAAACTGCCTAAACCAAACCTCGTCTTGCTCAAGCACTTGCTCTCTCTGCTCCGCCACATCAGCCAAAATGCTGAGACCAACAGGATGGACTCCAGCAACCTGGCCATCTGTGTTGGCCCAAATATGCTGAGCCCAGAGACGGACAGCACGCTGCCACTGGAAGTACAGAAGGAGATGAATGACAAGGTATCTTGAACTGACCAAGCAGCCACTCCCTTTGGGGCAGCTCAGAACCATCCATAGGGATCCCACTGTGATTGCAAAAGCTCAACAGAACAGCACCCCTGGATATCAAGGGTAGCCCTCAGCCTGTGATGTGATGGGCCAGACTGCCCCTCATTTTGCCTCCTCTGAGCAAAAGCAGCAGCTGCCCCACAGTCCCCTAAGTCCCAGCACAGTTCCTGGATACTTTGCATGCAGAGGGCAAGAGGCACACAGTGAGCACTGTCACCCATGGGTCCTCTGGGCAGCAAAGCCAAAGCTGTTCCTCCCTTTTGACTGAAATGAACTTTTTCTGTGTGCAGGTGACAGTGTTGGTGGAGTTCCTCATAAACAACTGCTCAGAAATATTTGAGGAGGACATTGCTTTCCCTGTCTGTGCCTCAGCTGAGGAGTCACCAGAGCACACAGACAGCTCCACAGGTATGAGAATGGACTGGGGATGTCACAGACTGGGGCTGCTGGGCTGAATTCTTTAATTTGATATGTGAATATATCTGTGGAAACACAGATATTTGTAGAGGGTTCAAGACTCTGTTGCAGTGCTCTTCTGCAGGATTTTTTTCTGTATAGTTCTCTTTCATCCTCAGCCTGTTAGTGAAAACTAATGCCTGCTTTCTCCCTACAGAACAGCTATGTGCTGCTCGTCAGAATGACTCTGCCTATGACAGCCCAGATCCCGAAGCTGAAGGCAGCCCCTGTACCTCTGAGATGGAGCAGCGCAAAGGGAGGAATGCTACTGTGAGCAGAAGACATCCAACACACATCTCTGCCTCTTCACTGACTAATTTCAGAAATGACATCAGCATGATGGATAGGAGGTACTCAGAGTCAGACTTGTCCTTCCAGAATTGCCTTGATAGCACAATAAGGAAACAGAAGCTAAATAAAAGTGAGGACAATTTTCCGGTTCCCCAGAAACAGCTGGGGTTGGAGGCTTTGGGGCAGCTCAGAACCATCCATAGGGATCCCACTGTGATTGCAAAAGCTCAACAGAACAGCACCCCTGGATATCAAGGGTAGCCCTCAGCCTGTGATGTGATGGGCCAGACTGCCCCTCATTTTGCCTCCTCTGAGCAAAAGCAGCAGCTGCCCCACAGTCCCCTAAGTCCCAGCACAGTTCCTGGATACTTTGCATGCAGAGGGCAAGAGGCACACAGTGAGCACTGTCACCCATGGGTCCTCTGGGCAGCAAAGCCAAAGCTGTTCCTCCCTTTTGACTGAAATGAACTTTTTCTGTGTGCAGGTGACAGTGTTGGTGGAGTTCCTCATAAACAACTGCTCAGAAATATTTGAGGAGGACATTGCTTTCCCTGTCTGTGCCTCAGCTGAGGAGTCACCAGAGCACACAGACAGCTCCACAGGTATGAGAATGGACTGGGGATGTCACAGACTGGGGCTGCTGGGCTGAATTCTTTAATTTGATATGTGAATATATCTGTGGAAACACAGATATTTGTAGAGGGTTCAAGACTCTGTTGCAGTGCTCTTCTGCAGGATTTTTTTCTGTATAGTTCTCTTTCATCCTCAGCCTGTTAGTGAAAACTAATGCCTGCTTTCTCCCTACAGAACAGCTATGTGCTGCTCGTCAGAATGACTCTGCCTATGACAGCCCAGATCCCGAAGCTGAAGGCAGCCCCTGTACCTCTGAGATGGAGCAGCGCAAAGGGAGGAATGCTACTGTGAGCAGAAGACATCCAACACACATCTCTGCCTCTTCACTGACTAATTTCAGAAATGACATCAGCATGATGGATAGGAGGTACTCAGAGTCAGACTTGTCCTTCCAGAATTGCCTTGATAGCACAATAAGGAAACAGAAGCTAAATAAAAGTGAGGACAATTTTCCGGTTCCCCAGAAACAGCTGGGGTTGGAGGCATTGGAGAAACGGCTTGCAGTCTTACCTTCACATTTATCAACTGACTCTCTACCCAAAACATCCTCCAGTTGCTCCCTGGAGAGTTCTGATGGCTCAGTCTTCACCAGCTCCCCAGTAGTTTCACCCTCTAGTCCCAAAAAAACCTTTTTAAATAGGCCCCAGTCCTTTTCCACCAAGGCCACCGAAGACTGCAGTACACCTATCAGAGAGATCAAAAGACATTCCATGTCATTCTCTTTTGCAAACCACAGGAAAACACTAATAAAAACCCGGAGTTGGGGGCCTGGAAAAAACATTTTTTTTCAGAGAGACAGTTTCACAAAGAAAGAAGATCAGTTCTGCTGCAGAATTGTCCAGGAGAACAGTCCTAATGATGACAAACCATTGCCTGTGGAGTATCAGCAAAGACCCCGTTTCAGGTCGGTTGATGAAGTGTTCAGAGAGGTAGACCAGAGGAATCCTGGAAGACCACCCTCTTATGAAGAGGCTGTTAAAAACTCTCTGGCCACTAAAGTTGCCTCCCACAATCTCACGGTTCAAACTATGAGATTAAGTAACCCTCATGTGGTCTGAAGTGGTTTTAGTTTAAATAAACTGGATAGGCTAAGAAAAGAAAAGAAGAAAGAAAGAAAGTAAGAAGGAGGACAAAAAAAAAACCAAAACCAAAAACTCCTGTAGGGAAACATTCTGGATTTCAGCTTTAAATAGTTCAAGCTCATTAAAAAAAAAAAGGAAAAAAAAAAAAAAAGACAAATCCCAAAAATACTAGGTGATGTCCTTATAATCTTGTAAATATGACTGGAAGTGCAATGTGTTTTTATGGCTCAGCAGAGTCTTGAATCAGGAAGCAGAGAGACTTTTTTTGTCCTGTGTAACTTCACTACAATAAAACACTTTTCTGCATGAATGCTAAACTGTCCATTGTCTGTTTTTGAAACGTCTAGGCCCTACACATATGGTACCTACTTTTATACTATTCTACAGGCACTGCAGGTCTGCTTGAATGACATGGCATAGCTAAGTTGATGGAAGCAAAGTAAATGACTAGCAGTATCACTGCTGTTGTTGTAAGAGGCCGCAGGCTACATTTTGGGAATGAATCCCTCTGTCAAGAAAACTAGTTATACTGCCATGTAACAGCAGTTTTCAGTGAGGTGGAGAGGAAGCTGCAAAGAGGTGATGCTGTTCCAAAAGTGGACCCAATTAGAAAGCAGCACACCAGCTTCTCAGGAATGTTTTCCAAGTCTAGGTGTTCACAGGACACAGAGAAAAGGGAAGGAGAGTGCCTGATCTGACAGAAGTGATGTGAGATGGATCATACTGGTAGGTTGCAACTAGAGGAAAATGCCACTTCACTCAGCCCCCTAAACAGTGGCACTCTGCTTCCAAGCAAGCTGAATGAGAGGGCTTGGCTGCAAGCTACTAAAGGCCTTTACCATTTTCTGGAATCTGCAACTCCTGGATCACAGAATGACAGAATAGGTGAGGCCAGGTGGTCCTGGTGGTCCAGAATAGGTGGTTGTCCTGTTCAAGCTCCCTGCTCAAGCAGGGACAGCTAGAACAGATTGCTCAGGACCATGTCCAGACAGCTTTTTAATATTTCCACAGATGGAAGCTCTGCAACATATCTGGGCAACCTATTCCTGTGTTTGACCACCCTCACAGTGAAAAAGTGTCTCCTTGCATTCAGATGGAATTCCATGTATTTTTATTTGTGCTCTCTACATTTTGCCCTGTGTCAAGTGGGAATTACAGTTTTCTTTTGTAAAAAACAAAAGCGTCTTGCCCTTGTGGCAGAACGAGCGTGAAGAGATAATCCGCGTGCAGTGGAAAGGCTCAGAAGCCACAGAACAGAAAACACAAACCTCAAAATGTACTCAAACAATAATACAGCTACTTCTTTGGTAAGTGACTCATTCTTTTTGAGTGTGACAAGATTAAGGATCTCAAGATTCCTCCCCTCTAACCAGCAGAAAATCCAGGGTGAATAAGCATGGTCACTTCACCAGAGATGAGGAAAGTCTCTCTTTAGGTTCAAGGTGTCCTAAGGCAGATAGGACAATCACACTAAGAAAGCTTACCTGGTCTTAAATATTCAATATAGATGAGTCTAAATCTTCCAGCTCCTGAATAAGAAAGACCGTTTGGAACTTCCCGTAAGGCATTTCAGTCAACGCAGAAAAAGGAAGAGAGAGGAGTTCTACACATAACTAACAAAAAAGGGGTAAGGTGAAGCAGTTGAATGAAAGAGTGGTTCAGTCACCCTCACCCTGCTCTTGCATTTCTTCAGTCCAGGAAACACCATAATTAAACAAAATCTGAATGTAAAAGGACCTCAAAAGAGATTTACCTCCTTTTTGATGGGTAACTTGACTTCCTTCACCCCTTCAGACATGGCTGTTTAGTCAGCATTATTTTCACGTCATGTTTCTCCACAGAAGTGATTTCTCTTCTATATAAGCATGTAAGAGACCTCAAAAGCCTAGGATGACACAGAAAGTAGAGAGCTTTGCTTTAGCACTTATTCATCTGCCTTTGGCTCAGAAAATAGTTTCATCGTGCTACCAGTCCAATCACATTCTAAGATCCAGCCCAGCTATCCTGGCCTCCAAGAGTTAGGCACTTTAACTGCTATATCCAACGAGTGAATTATCTGTTTTACAATTGCCTTTGCCAAAGTTGCCTTTAACTTGTCAGGCAGAAAGATCAAACAAAAGATTTTGGCACAAGAATTGAATGATGGCAATAAGCCTCCCATTCTCCACAGGTTACCCCATCATCACTATTGCATCACTTGCTTCACACACCCAATTTTCTAATTCCATGAAGACACTCTAAACATACAAAGCATATAGGACTAGAAGAAGGAAGAAAGCAATATTAAAGCAGAAAATCCAAGCCATTGTCTTGTAAGGCAATGCTGGAATTAAGACTGTTGGTGCAGCTTGAATTCAGTTCCTTGTGTTTGCATCCGGCTGTTGTTTTCAATCACATGATGCACTCTGTTCTTCCCCACAGGATGCACCTGCTCTGGGGAGGAACCAAGGTTGTGCAGCAAAGGAGAAAATCTTAATTCTGGCATTCTGTTCCATGCCATCACAGACAACCCTGACTCAGACCTTTATTTTCTCCACTCCTGACTCCTCACCTCTGCCTCATTTTCATTGCCTCTCAATTTCATTGCCTGCATTCCTCATCTCATCCAGTTATGTCTCTTTTAATTGAACAAAACCCAATCTATCCCTATGGACTTGCTGTCAAAGTCTCAATTTCATTTCTGTCCTCTCCATCCCTAGACCTACTTCTCTCAGTCAGCCAGTTTCAGTTTTCCTTTTCCAATTCTTCCATGTTTTTCTCTCATATCTGCACTGGTTGTTATTGCAATAAGCTCCATCAACACTCATCTAGCCTCAATTCCACACACATTGTCCCTATGCCCCCTCCCCCCCCCTTTTTAGTCTCTGCAAATGCAGAGAATCGGAATAAGAGCAGGAAAATCTCTGTAAGCTACAAGAAAAAAAAGTACAGAATTCACAGAGCCCAGTGATGGCCTTAATTCACAGCTGTAAATATGGAAAGCCTCAGGATGAAACTTCCATGGACAGAGGCCCTTGAATTTACGAGATTTCAGCAAGGGGTCTGCATATCTCTTGTTGTATGGAAATATGGACTGTCAGCTATGATGGAAGGAGATGTGGAGCTAGGTTAAGGTGAAATAATAAGTAAAAATAAGCCATTTTCCCTGTGCCTCACCAAAGCAGTTCACAAGCTATGATGTAAGGGATATTTCTGGTAATATGCTCCTGTTCTCTGGAAATTGCATTGTCAGTACACTGACAATTTTCTGCCTCTACAAGCAAGGTCTTGGGGAAGAAGCTTTCTCACCTGTCTGACCTCTTCTCAAAGCTGTTATCTGAAGGGCAGTTGTTTCTGAGAACTGTGAAAACTAAAGAGACAATGAATCCTTCACACCTCAGGAAGAACAACTTCTGGTCACTTAGCAATGATGGACCATGCTACCACCATGATACTACCATGGTCACTTCCTGTGATAACTGCTACAGCATAACCCAAGAAAGCCCTTCACTGGACATCGTCACAGAACAGAATCGCTACTCAACATAAAATCTTTCTTCTGTAATTTCCTCCCATGATTGCTTCCTGGGTACCCCAGGCAACACAGATTGCTGGTATGAACCCATTGTAAAAGTATATAATGAACACAATCACACCAACTTTATACTAACTAGTAGCTTGGAGCATAACTGTCCACACTTTGTATTTGGCATTGGTTACCCAGAACTCTGTTCTTTTTGGGATTGAACCACTGTCTAGAATGTCACTGTGGTCCACAATTCCAACACTTAATATAAAGCCAAGAACTTGGGAGGTTTTTTATAATGGGACTGTGTCTCTTCAGCCTTTTGCTTGGAACTAGATCTCTATTTTCCTGTAGCACTAATGACAAAATATATGGTTTTGGGATACTGCTTGGAGTATATATACTTTAATGTTAAAAGCTAATAGTAAAATTACTGCCTCATAACTCAGTTACATATTGTACAAAGTTTCACACAGACGATTTTTACCATAATGTTCCCTCTTATAATATTGCTATCAAATGTCTCCAATTACAACAGGAAGAAGTATCGCAGCTGACAAAAATCCCATCTGTGTTATTTTTAGTCTGGGAATGGGAGCTCTTACTTCTTTACTGCCTGTTCTGGTTTTGGTGCTGATAAATCACTGGAGACCAGGTGGTTTGTTGCAGCACCACACCAGCACTGCTTATTCCCAGGTTGACTCATTCCTCGTTCATAAACTGCAATTGACAACTGCAACTTTCCATCGCAACAGGCAGGTCTCTTAAGCTGGAGAACAGCATTTTGTACCACAGCAAGGCCAAGAGATTGCAGCACTTGGCTGTCACAGGGCCGAGCTCTGAACAAATAAAAACATGCTGTTACTCTGCTTGCATGAGTCAGTGTGGCTATCGTGTTTCCACGAGGACAATTTCTAACTACAGGAAAAGGAAACCCATCTTGGTTAAGCGCTCTGGTTACATTTTTCTCTGAATTTTGTTAGCAGTCAGTCCTTATCACCTGTGCCATCAGAAGAGAGTAAAAACTTCAGAGGAGCTTCTGAAGGCTAAAAATTCTTAAGATGGAGCAATTTTTATTTAAAAAGTCTGACAATGACAGAGAGAAAGATCCATGGGAAAAGGGCAACCACTGTTGGAGAAGTGATATAGTCCTCATATTGTCAGCTGACTATCATATCCATAGCTGCCTGCAAGTCTCTGTGGATGCTAGGTGAACAATGGCTTTTTATGCTTCTCTGTTACTCAGAAATGCTAAATATCTAATAACATTTTTCTATAAATACATCACTTTTATTGTTTTAAATCAGTCTTTTCCATTTGCAGTGATAAATACATTAATTTAAATTTCACCTCTGAGTGAAGCCCATTCCAAATTCTACATGTTCTTCTGCAATGGGAGAGGAAACCATAGATTATTTTCTGTTTCTAACCTGAGGTGTCATCATATAAGTCTGAACAAATTGTTCATAAA